GACATAGAGCGAAGATGGGATTGCCCCTCCATCTACCGGATCGGGGGAAACATCGAGGTTTCCAGTACCGTGGCCATGGGTCGAGCCGAATTCCAGACGGAGTCGCCTAGAGATTCGGTATGACACCGACGTACTGGAATCGTTGGCCAGCGGATCTCAGGGAATAATTAGGTTGGAGATGGTGACCCAGAATGGCAAAGGAGGTATGACCGTGGCACGCGGAAGAGAATTCAGCACCGAACGAAGAGGGTGATTCCCGGCGGCTCTAGCGAGTTGAAATTATTTTGTATTGATTTTTGAACAGCAGCAAATATCTCCGCCGCTTGGGAACGCGGCTGAGCTGAACAGCTGACAGAAATATGGCCGGCCGTCCAAACCACGGCGACGCAGGGAAAAGAATCGAACGGGGGAGAAGCTTTTTTTTATCCCGACCCTGTGGCGTTTCTCTCTGCTCTCTCGTTCTATCTCGTTCGTTCGCTCGCTCGCTAACTTGCGCTCAGCGGCTGCTACAGCTATCGGTCATATGAAGTCTCGGTTGGGACTCACAGACATCCGATTCATACGCGCTAACGAATGCGAAGAGTGCAGAAGCTGAGATACGGTTGCCACGTCCCGCTTCTTCGGCGACGGATGTGGAATTGTTGGAGCGGACATTTTTTCCTGATTTCGGTCCGCGTGTTCCCTCGACCCGCCACCGTCTATTCGACCACGTGCGCGCCCGCCCACCTTCCTGTCTCCCTGCTTCGCTCACTGGCTGTCTGCGCTGTGTCTGCGTTGGCCGGGCTGCCAGTTTATCTATCCGGTTGACGATTTGTCTTGGTTAGAGCGTTCTGGTGTTGGTCGTCGTTGTCGCAGTTCTCGCCCTGTTTGTTGTGCTTGCAGTCATTTTCCGCTTAATTTGAGACACAAGCAGGCGTGGCGGCTAAACTCGGCGTCGTCCGTCATCCCGGGCGCGCTGAATTGTTCGGTCGAAGACAGATTCTGCACTTCGTCTCGACGCCTTGGAATTCATGCTCGATTCCGTCTGATTGAAAGATGATTGGACGGACACGTCTCAGTCATCGAAAGTTGGCCGCGAATCGCTCCCCGTTCGGAGTCGAAGATACACGAGTACGGGCCACCATTCCGGCGATCCCCGAACCTCCTTGGGGCGTTCGTCCGGATCCGACCGACGGGATTCCCTATGAAGAGAGGTCCCCGTCGCCTCGATCTGCCGACTTGCGCAGCTCTCTGCTGTCTTCTGCCGAAAGACAAAGTGCTCTCCCGGGTCGACAATTGTTTCAGCGGTTTCCAAAACGATTCCCCCCCCCCTTGACCCCTTTCTCGTAGAAGAGGTGCTGCTCCGAAGACAAATGCTGTTGGTCTTTTCCGCGGCGCGGCAATCCGCAAGGGACAAATCCTCTCCGACAAAGACTTGTGATGAGAATCTCTAAGTGAAGAACACGGGATTCTCTCTCGACCTAGGGGGCGGCTTCGGGTTCGGATAGGAGCACAGGATACGGGAGGATAAGGTTCGAGGAGACGAGCAGGCCGCTGAGACGCAAAGCAGTCGATAGAAAACGCGAACGAGGCATTGAAGATATCGAAGAAAAAGCGCGAAAATGCCTGAGGGGTGATAGCGAGTCACACGAGTTGGAGTTACGCGACGGGTATCAGTTCGAGAAGCACACACGAAGAGCCTAAGCGGGTAAAGTCTCAGTGAGCGGTGCAGGGTGACGACGGCGACGACGACGGGAGGAACGAAAACGAACTAATGGTCTGTTAATCGAGGAGAGCGGAGAAAAGACGACCGGGGATGTCGACTGGGACAGAGGAGAATATCATCTCACCTCAGTTGAGGCTATCTATCCGTCCGTTCGACCGACCGGCTGATGTTTCCTCCGCCTCCGGAGCCGTCTTTCGAAGTCCTTCAATGTTTCAACTTGTTCAACCCGATCCATAGTACCGAAGGCCGCGGGGCGGCTCGACGGTCTTCGGTCGGGATTCCGGTGATTCCCTCCCTCATGAGCTCAAATGTCATAGAGTGGGCATATCAGGCGTCTAGTCTCCGAGGACAAATTCGCACGTTACGTACAGCCCGGATCCGCTCAAGTCCCCCTCACTGTATGATGCGGATCTCCGATAATTCAGGCCTGAACACGCTCGAGCGAGCCTGAATTCGGAAGGATTTTACAACCTAGGAAAGGGTTGCTTGCTCGACTGAGTGCAGCGTGGCATGCTCCGGTGGGTGGCCGGCCGGCCGGCAAGCTATCATCTACGCAACATTTTCCGATCCTCGAAGCGAATAGTTGACAACGCGCGACAAGCACGTCGTAACTCTACTTCAGTGGTTGACAGTGAGTGTCATCATCTCCTTTCTTCATAATTGTCTCCTCACGCCTCGACGCCCCAATAGCTTCTATAGCAGTGAGCCTTCTAAGAGGCTTGACTGGGGTCGGTCGCCTGGATGGCTGCTTGACTGAGTGACTGGCTGGCTGGCTGGAGACAGACAAGACCGCCGATACGGACGGACCCATGGACGGATTCACTGACAGACAAATCGACGAAACTAAGCTGCGACCAACCGATAGACAGATTGACAGACCGACGAAGGACGGGGATCCGGAGAAGAGAGGCGAAAGGAGTTTAATAATTTGTGCTTAACTTGATCCATTCATTGGCCGCTCTCTTTTGCTTCTTCCTCCTTCCTTCTACTGCCGGGAGCCAAGCAAGGCTGAGCGAGTTCGCTGGCTGTCAATCAGCGGGGTATTAGGTAGAACGGACGCACGGACGGCGAGCAGACTTGCGCACTCGCAGCCGCAATAAGTTTTTTCCCGCTCCGCTCAGCACTTCCTCCGACGTTTGCTGCGATGAATATGATGAGCACCGACGTCGAGTCGAGAATGAAGACCGAGCAAAACAAGAGCCGCAGTGGAATTCCCAGGCCGAATTCTGTTTCCTGGGCCGAGTTCCCGAGAATGAAAGCTGTCGGCGACCGTGAGAGCCGACCAATGACGATCAGGGAACGATGCAAACAGAAACACGCACGCCTCTAGAGATACATAGTTCTCAACGATTCAAGCGACCGCAAGTCGAGGCGACGAGTTTCAGAGTAGTAGTTGAACATTGAGCGTCAAGGTCGCAAGGCTGCTGAAGGTAACCGCGCGATACATCGCGTTGCGGATCGACATAAAAGGCAATCGGCTGGTACTGCACCCTGCAAAAAGCCCCGCTGCGCCGTCTCGTATCGTGACGCCGATCGACCACGAACGAAAAGCGAAAATACGCAAAGAGAGGAAAAAGAGCTGGGGAAAGCTAAGTAAAAGAATGAAAGGCTGTCCCCTCAATCCTGACTGGTTGACTTCAATGCGTTGGCGGCGGCGGCAACTTCGGATAGAAAAGACTCGACCGGCTGGAAGCTGTTGACCTTCCGCCGATGGTTCTTCTGGTACAGAAAAAAAACCTTGCTGTTTGTGTTCTTTGTGAGCAAAAATGAAAGAAACTGGCTTCAATGTGAGCGAGCGAGCGTGTGTGTTTCTGAGAGAAAATTAGAGACACTTCAGAAAATAGACGCAAGGTCTCCTTCAAGAATCAGGATATTTTTAGAGCCGCCGAACAGTCGAACGAAGAGACGAGAAGAAAAAGAATGAAAAAGCCCTCGACCAAATGCTGGTGGCTGAGTATAGCCCGATCAGCCGTTGGTGGCAACGGTATTGTTACAAACGAAGTCTCCCGGCTGTGCGCGCTTTTCCTCGCTACGCCTGCCCCTAACAAAGCTAGCTGGAATTTGCAAAGACTAGCTGCACTTCCCGCGAGGTCATCCATGGCTGGAGAGATCCAGGATTTCGTTCCAAAACGATTAGAACATCGAACGCCAGGATCAATGCCATAGAGAGAGGCGTGCGTCGTCTTAGTTTCTCAAATGTTCGCCACCCGGGGTGCTTCGCATACGTTTCCCAAAAACCCTCGTAGTCAGTGGAATATCACTGACACCGAAAGCGCTCGTGCGTTCGTTTCTCGCTCAGTCTCCTAGATAGAGCCTCGTTTGCCTCTACTCCGGATTCAAAGAAGAGTAATCTCATCGTAGCCATGCTTTTTTGATTAGGGATCTCCACTGGAACGACGTGCTCGTACGGCCGGATTCGAAGAAGGTCATACCGCGGAAGCGCGATTCTGCAGAGGAGCATCGGGTCTCACTGCTTTGCTATTTCCCCAGCGTTCCGCTGTTTCGAATTCTCGGGAAAGAAAATCCGCGACAGCAAGCTTTTGACCCACCCTTGTCATTGTACGCTGCTTCCTATGTTAACAGAAGGGCGGATCTCGTTCTCCTCCCTTGCATGTTGGGAGTGTGCCCACGACGGAACATTCACGTCGGTGGCATTGACGAAAACGGCAAGGTTTCTCTCGTAGCACAAAATAACGATATACGGAAAGTGTGCGACGAAGAACGGGAAGCATGCCTCGTCCTTCTATCTACAAACGCTTTCCGGAGTCGTGCAATGCTGTCAGTGATTCTACGATTCAGTCCCAAGTTAATGTTGTCGCTAGGGTGGGTGGAATTCTTTCATCAAAGAGAAAGGTCGAGGATCAGAGGTTCTCACACTTCATTTAGTTCAGGGTGATTTTAGAGAGCTCTGCGGCATATTTCGCGCCGCGACAGCAGGGCGAATTCCAAGCCGCATTTTCCGCTCTCTTTGCGTTCATTCCATATTCAACAACCGCGCTCATTCACTCCGTGGGTGAGGTTGACGATCCACGTATTCGCACTTCGCACCCACCGCCATCCCAGAGAAATGCATACACCAAGCAAATGCCTCCCCACTCCTCTATCTCCTTGTTCCTGTCTGCTTACTCCATTAACCGCCAACCGAGGCATACCTCGCTACCGCATAACCGCCATCGTCTCCGCGCGGTGGTACACGGTTTCGCTCAACAATTGAAGCATAGAGCCTTCAATTGAAGTCGACTGTTTACCATTGATGGCAGGGAAATCTCACTGTGGGGCTGTAGAATAAACTCACCCGTTGTTGTTCCATGCTGCTTGCTGAAGATATTCGCTGACGGTGTGTTTGTCACAGGCGGAGGTCCCTGACTTTGAAGCCCGTTTGGTGGTAAAGGGCTGACCCCCACAGAAGGTGGACTGCCCAGTGGTTGAATGATATCATTGCGAGATTTTCCAGTGAACGCTGAAAACGGAAGATTGAGAATACTTATTCATGTCCCTTCGGTCCTCAGTATATGCCGAAATATATTTTCGTTAGGTAATTCTAAGCGGATAGACTCGTCATCCTGGTTCGATGAGACAGCCTCCTTCGAGAAATATCCTTCGCGGTCTAGTGCTGCTCAATCCGAGAAATGCGCACCACAGAGGAGACTGCAGTCGACCTCTGATGGAAGGCAGTTTTTGTATTGAGGACTGAATTGCCCGGCTGGTATGCATCATTCTAGAAGAGCACTCAGATTCCACGACAAGACACGCGCGAACCGTGCCGAGGAATTCTTTTCGCTCGAAGGGATGAGGCGGCTATGCGCGCTCTCCCTGCCCATCTGGAGCTCGACCATCCCCTGACTGGAACTCGCTATCGTAAACTCATCTCGGCATCTTATGGGAAATCCGTGCGGGGGGAGATCGTCGAGGGCCCTCGATGGGGTTCCCGTCCCGAAAGTCTTCCCTTAGGTGGGTCCTCAACCCGACCCGGCCAGGTTCCACGGATCACCTGAATCCCAATAGGAACTATTCTCCTTGGAAGCCTGCGCATACTTTGGAATTTGTCCGTCTCTGGGACTTCCGTGAAATCCCCCGCAGGAACAACCCCCTTCTCAGGGTGAACATGCGGGGAACACTATTTTTGCCGCAAAGCTCAGGAAATGATTCGTATCACTCCAGGGCAATGGGAGTCGGTCTGAGCAGAAGGAGCGAGTATTCAGACATGGCAGACTCGAATGTTTAGCCCCTGCCCTCAGAAGGAGCTTGACCATACGCCGTTTCCTAGGTTATTTCCCTGACCCACAGCGGACATCAGAGGAGTCTGCTGACCTGTTGTTCGGGAGCTGAGCTTGGCTGATTCCACCGACCGCACCATGACAATGAGGAAAAAACAGGAAAACTCACGATCGGGTGAGATCGTTCTATTTACTGACCAGAACTGACTGACTGTCATGGCTACCAGTAGCTGGCTCAGTATTGAGCTGCGCAAGCGCAAATATTCGAAGTACAGGCGGGCTCCGGGAAGCTTCTATATTTTCTTCGTCCGTTTTGTAATTGGTGTCTTATCCTACCGTGATAGAACCCAATGAGGTTTTTCGACCCGTGCAGCGCCAATGGCTGGTGGGCTCAATTCAGACAAATCACTCGCAGGGGGAGGGGGCGAACAATTTCTCGAGCTGGAGCGAGATTGGTGCCTTGCATCCGGACATGGGAATATAGGCATTGTCTTCGCTCCGATAAGATCGATATACGTTCCTATCAACAGCTCGAAATGAGATTCAGCGCTATGAGCCGCATGACGACTCAATGACATTTAGTCGCATAATCTGCTTCTCGAGAAGAACTGGGATGGTTCCCCCGCTAGCCAGTCATTTTGTCAGTTTAGGTGGTTGGTTGGTTGCTCGCTTTGTCTGTCTCTGATATTGGGAATTCTCCTCGAAGAAGCTGGCTGGCTGGTCGTTCCTTCCTTGCTTGCTTCCTTCCTTTCGTTCCTGTATGGGCTGTCTCTCTTCTCCGCTCAAACTCCGCTGTCAATCAAACGTCACCGATGTCACGCGCGCTCTCCCTCCACCAGCGGCTGCTTCCGCCGCCGCTACTACCTCCGCGAGAGTCTCATGCTGGCGTATAGACACACATGGACAAAGAAGAAGCGACAGACGCCGCGGACCTGAAGGAAGCGAATCTCGAGCGAGAAAATAACCTTCGTATAGCTCCACAAAGAACGAATGGAAACACGTCGCATCGATCTGCTTGGAAGGAGCGATCGGCCTGCCAAGAAGAGAACGAAAGAATAAGATAAGGGTAGCTCCCCCTCCGACGATCGCCAACCGGACCTTAGCGAGAGAACATTTTGCGGCAGCATCGATAGCCGGCGGTTTTTCTCCAGGTTTCGCGTTCTCGAGCCGGGTCGTGTATCAGTTCTCGCAGCGCCTACTCACGAGAAAAGTCGTCGCCGCTCAGTCCAGTCCGGACGGGGTTCGATTGTTTCACGGGGTCAAGCTCATCAAAGTCTTGCGTTGTCTCTCGCTGGAGCAATGATTCATTTCTCTGACGGGATCGAATCGCTCCGACCATCCGTTTTTCATCTTTCGACACATTCACTCCCTCATCTCGCTCCCCATTCCCCGTCCGCCCGCCTCCGTTCCGAGACCCGAGACCGAGTATGCTGCTGCTGCTGTTTCATCGGACCGTTTGGCTTCTCACTGAGCGGAGATTCTGTCCCGTTACGAATCCATTAAATAATGTCCTGGTAATGATTTTTCAATTACAACAAGGAGGAAGGAAGGCCCTGCTGTCGGGTCTGACGTCGTTGTCGGCGATCGTCGGTGAGTGGTGCTCTGGCTGGTCTCAATAACACCGGCAATGATGTCGGCGAGCCGTTCCCATGGTCGGAGTTCATCATTCAATTAGTGTAATAGATGGTTTCTGAGCCGAGAGTCTCAGCCCGGTGTGCGCCAACGGCATGATAGTACAGTCCTCAAACCTCTCCTCGGAAACAAGTGTTTCCGTCGGGAGCAGCACGGAGGACTAATCAGATCGAAATCAGCGGATTGAAATCTGTCCACATCACGGCGTCTCGCACAATGCAAATATAGCGTATGGGGAGGAGATCGCTAAAGCTGACCACCTCCCAAGACTCAAGCGAAGGGGCTAGAAACTTTCCACCTCAATGCGGTCACCAACTCCCTCAGTGATCCAATGCGAGGAGTCTTATCGTGAAATATGCAAATTATCTGATCGGGAGTACGAAACATGGACTGATAAGTCACAAGCATGAGATGGCTAATATTGTAGATCGCCATGGGAAGTACCTTCTCGCCGTCGCATATCCGCTGTGTTGCTCATCTGAATAGCGACGCTTTTCGCGGGAACGTCATTTGCTGACTCATTGAACGAACACCGTGAGCGGAAGTGACGAATGTCTGAAGTCAGCATAATGTGATCTCGCAGGCTCGCTATGTTTGACAGCCCGTCAGCCAGCCAGCCAGTCCCTATGCCGACCTCTCCGTCCGTCCGTCCGTGCAGCGACCGTCTATCGGTCTGTCAGTGATCCTGTCAATGACGGCCTTAGGAGCATGTAGGCACATAGGTTGGCAGGCGACGCACAGACAGCGCCTTTCTGCTCGACCTCTCGTCTGGTTCCCCTCGATCCTGGCTGGCTGGCTGGCTGCCGGTTCATCGGTCTGTCCGCGGGCCGGTCGGCCTTTCGTCCGTTCACCGAGCTAGCGAAAGAGCCAGCCAGCCGGCCTACCCCATGGATGGATCCGTTTGAGTGACAGCTGTCGGGTACATCACACACAGAGACAGCCCTCGTTCTCCTCCTTTTTCGTTTCGTCGCTCTGTCGTTGGCTGGCCGGCTTGCTTGCTTGCTTGCTCCGATGTGCCTCCTACACATTCACTGCATGGAGAAAGCAGCTCTTCGTACAGCAAGCTAGCTGGCAGGCCAGCCAGCCAGCCAGTCAGAGGGATAGTCGAGGAACCATATGCATGCCGGCATAACGGAGAGCAGCGAGCAAGTCGTCGGTCAAATCAATGCGACCGCCACTCCTTTCTACTATAACGATAAAATAATTATTATGTTCGTCGACCGCAGTGGCGACCAGGTAAGGCTCAGCTCCTAGCTCGCTCACGGGGATCACATGAGAAGTTGGCAGCGAGAAGCATATGCTCACACACATATCCAAATCCTCATCAAAGAACATTGGGACGATGATGCCGTGGGTAAATGTGCTCCGCTTTGCTATATGGTGCGCTGTTGTTGCTGACGTCAGTGACAGACGGCCGAGCCTCGTCTCCACCCCAACATTCTCACTGATGACGAATTCGAATGCGCGTCGGTTCCATTCGAAAAACCGATGGGATCATCCACAGTAGGAACGAAACCTAGCTGAGAGAGTACGCATCATCAACATCCATATCCATGGCAGGATGGGACTTGCAAGGAAGTTTGTCTCTCCGCCCCATCACTGGCGGCCCCCCGGACGCGAATGATGCTGCTTATCGGATTGTGTATTTCGTGGACAGGAAAAATTTCCGGAACGCACAGGAGCCTCCGAGCAATATTGGAGGTTCTGGGTTCGTCCCCACGCCCCATTTTCGGGCGATTCTCATGCTATGCGTGACTTCTCAACTCGGTACGCGACGTCTTGTCATCAGAAAAATCCGACGCAGGGATCGAACTTATCGCTCTTTCTCGAAGTTTCGCCTCGGAAGAAGTCTGTGTTTCCTCCACGTCGGCAAAACTGACACTGGAATATTGTTTACTCGTAGAGCCCGCCGTTGTTTCTCCTGTTGCATTCCTCGTGCGGATATTGATGGTCTTAAATAAGGTGTTTGTGCTTTTAGCGTGGATATCTAATGGTGGTGTCGACAGAGGTGATGATGATGGCGGTGGTGTTTCTGCCAACCATTCAGTCAGCGACCCAACCAATGAAAGAGTGAGTTCGGGTTTTGCTGGCTCCGTCGGAGTAGGTGAGGCAGCTCCAGGCTCTGCTACCAGCGCCAACAGACCAGTCGGTTGGCTAAATCTCACGGACGAAGATCACCAACCAATGACTGAAGAACGCGAAGGGCGGTAACATTTTTTTTGTTATTTTTCACTCGGAGCGGCCTCTACGTCTGCGCGAACTAATGCACCGACGGAAAGACTCGGTAGACTTCAGGGAAGGTCTGGGAAACGTCGTGGTTCTTGCGCGCCGTCAGACTTGGCCAGAGACAGTTTCTGCTCTCCTGAATATGGAGCCTTGGCTCCTCTCTTTTCCTCTCCGATCCGACAGGAAAACTCCGTTCCATCCCTCATGTCGCTTATGTTACTCTGAGCTTGACCGAACCT